GACAAGGCCGCTGTCAGACCCCCTGGAGAATGTTTCCCATGCTCCACCCACGGAGTCGCTGTCGGATGCACTGCCACTGGCGTTGCCGTGAACCGTGCTGGAGCGTGTGCTGACGGGAGTTCCCACGTTTCTCCAGCTATCTGTGGATGCCACGCCTCCATCTGGATCCCTCACAGCTCAGAACCCTCAGCTGGTGTCCCTAGCCTGAGAGCCCTGCTGACTGGCTGAGTGATCCCTCTGTGTCCATGCTGGGGACCACGCAATGTCTGACTTTCTGCTATAAAAGCAGATGAGGATGTCAGGTTGAACCACATGTATTGGCCCATCCTAGATGAGCAAGAGCATGCAAGTAAGACAGGATATCCCGGGGTACAGATGCCCTGGATGACGAGAGCTGGGTGCTTTGTCGGTTGTGTGTTATTGTAAATAACTGTCACGTGCAGTCGTTTAGGTTGCGAGTTCATATACAGCCCCCCATTTCTGCCTCAAAAAATGTCCATGCTCCCTGAAGCCACTGTCACTTCTGCATGCCCACCAGAAGCTTGAATGGGAGGAACTCTGCAGCTTGGCCAATTTTATCTGCTTCCAAGAAGCATGTATTGTGTGTGCTTCCCGTTGCTAGGACCCACGGACGCATTAACACAACTCTGACTAACCGACGAAGAACTGTAAGCCTTGCAAACCCGGAGAGCTGGAGCAGTCCTGGAACATGTGTATTGCCCCTCGAGGGCCCACGGTTGTCTGAACCGATTATGTAACGTAACAAGCAGGACTTGGGAGGGTGTCTTATTAATCTTTCAAAGCTATTAACTATCTCTTTAAACTGTAATTGCATCGCTCTTAATTGCTTTATTAGTTCCTCAGCTTCATTATTCATCCTGTCTCACTCCTATTCAAACCAGTTGCAGCTGGGTTTTTTTTTTTTCTTTAATGTGAACGGGAATCTCTGTCTCCAGATTCCAGAGAAAGGAGAGGTGGCATGCGGGCTCCACACAGGGTCGGCCCTGCATTAGCAGCTCCCCTGACACCAGGGCTTTGTCCAGGCCCTGAGGGTTGTCCTGTACTGGCTCTCTCTCCCTCTGGCACCCTGGTGTCCCCTGACCTGTCTCCTTCCCCACATCCTCACTGATCTAGTCTTGCCACGGTCAGAGAGAGATGTGCTCAGGAGGTAATCCATGATCTGCCCTCAGACCTTGGTGATGCCTAGAAAGGGGGCCATAGGCGCAGCTCCAGAATCTTCCCCAGCCTCTGAACTCTTGCTGCCTGCCTCAACTTCCTCGATGGTTCTGGGCATCTGTCAGAGCCCCGCCCTGGCAGTCTCCCTGCGGCTCTCTCCTGCAGACTGAAGCTGGCAGCCTCAGCACCCACTCACTAGACAGACGTTTCCTGAGCTGCCATCACAACTAGTGGGGGAGGGGGACACCTCACCAGTCACAGGAAATAAAGTGAAAACTCAAGCGTTATTGCAGACAGAAAACTGTTCTTCATGGTGATTAATGAACACGACCCTAAACCTCAGCCCTTCTAAAAACACGTTCATACGACAAATGCTACCATTTTTCATATTTTTTTTTTCTGTGAAATAAAAGCTTACCGAAAAACCATCCAAACAGCTGGCAATTCTTGGTGACTAAAAAGCTGACGAAATGGCCCAGGAGCCTGGCGTGGTGTGGTACTGAGAAGATGCAGGAAGCATCTGTATTCCATGGCTCCCCTGGCTCCTCCGGTCCACCTGCCCCTCCCCCATCCATGGCCCAGGGGGTTCTAACTGGTAAAGGAGTAGCGCCATCCACAGCCCCATCCCTGATGACTCATCTGCCACAGGGATGAGTAAGAACACGGTCTCTAACGCATGTCATTGTGGTGGGCAAAGTACACTGAGTACTCTCCAGCAGTGTCCAAACGTGTTTCCTGGACAATGAGGTGACAAGTGTGCTCAATTAACCCTGAAAGGCAAAGTGTGTGCAGTCAACAGGGATGGCCTCAAGGCCTCTCCTTCGCCCGCCCGGTGTCCACCTCAGCGCGCGCCACATGTAATTTCCCAGCATTCCAGGCGCGCCACATGTAATTTCCCAGCATTCCAGGCTTCAAAGGAAGTCACGCTGCAGCTGCCTTATCAAGTGCACAGCTGTTGCTTCTGCTTCCTTCGGAGCCTACAACCTGGCCTGCGCTGAGCCCCCAGCTGCACCCTCGGGGAAGTGGTTCACAGAGAACCTGCTGGTTCACCGCTACTGTTTAGAGTCTAATAGCTGCCTGCTTTGTAGGGACAGAATGGGATCAGAGTAAGGCGCCCTCCTGGAATTCACAGCACAAACTCCCTCCAAGGAACCCAGTTTCTCTAGAAAGGAAACCTTTCCTTCAACCACAGAGAAGGGAAAACAAGCTGTGTTAACTCTCAAATTCAGAAGCAGACTTCATAACCTATTTTCACTCTTTATGTTGGAACTTCCCTGGGGTTCTTTTCTCCAGAAGTTGGGCAGAGCCAAGACACCTGACAGAGCCAGATAAAGATTACACGGGGAAATGTTTAGACCTGAAACATCCAATGCGCTCTATACTTTAAAAGGAAAGAAAAGGAGGAACAATTCTCCATTTTAAAAAGCCACCTGGGGCCGGAGAGTTGGTTCGGCAGATAGGAGTACAAACTGCCTTTAGAGCAGCATGCTGACTAGGTGGCTCACAGCACTCTGGCTGGGCGGCTCACAGCCACCTGTAACTCCTGCTCCAAAGGCTCTGATGCCCTCTTCTGGCATCTCTGGAAACTGCACTCACATGAACAAGCCTGCACACAGACACACAGGCATGCAATAAAACTAAGGTCAGGTGAGGTGGCGCTTGCGTGTCTTTCATCCTAGCACGTGGGAGACAGAAGCAGGCAGATCTCTGTGAATATGAGTCCCACCGGGACTACACAGTGAGATCCAGGCCAGCCCAGGCTACATAGTGAGACCCTGTCTCAAAATAACTTTTAAACCCCCCTGAGTTGTGCTTGGGGCTCTCCTTTATTTATTACAGATATTAAAATTCTGATTTCCTATCTTCCAGTCAAGGTTACCATCAGGAAATCATTTCCACTCCTCATATTCCGCTATCAAAACAATTTGCACAAGAGCTGGATGCTTTAATTGTAATATAGAGATCCCCGTCTAGATTCCCATAGGAAGTACTAGGAATAAGTGTGTGGTGGCACACGGCTATGATCCCAGCACTAGCGGAGCTGAGGCAGGAAGAGCACGGCTTCCAGAGCCATGGGACAGGATCTGTCACTGATGAGCCACTGAGCTGCTGCTCTTTTGTTGTAACGGCGCAAACGAATTAACACATCACCATACCCAATCTTACTGCTCCACATGAGGCCACTCCCACCCCGACAGCGCCACAGACTCTGTCTCCAGGAGCCAAGTCCATTCCTCTCGCTAATGCACTGTGACAGCCCAGAAAGAAAGCTCACCTTTTTTTATTCCTGTAAAAAGCATGCTAAACTGGGTCATCTACGCCACACTAGCCGCCTCGTCTCTCTTCACACTCTGTACTGTGCACATACAGTGAAGGTTCCCGGGAAGCAGAGCTCTCCCCGGAATGTGGCAAGACAGCGTTAAAGTGACAGCTTGGGTCTGAGGAGCCCCGGCCCTGTTATTGTGGTGGAGGGTGTACCCTTCTTTGCCTCACAATTTGGCAAGGATCCAGTCAAATATGCACCTTTTCAGGAAAGTCCCTAGTTCATGTTTGATTAACCTCCGCTTCTGTGGCCCTGCCCAGAGCTACGCCTGCTATCTAGCGAAAGCAAAGGTTCACAGCCAAGCAGACATTCTGCCCAAACTCAGTCATATCACTTCAGAGCTCTGGAGAGAGCTGAGCTCCAAAGCCCTGAGACGGAAGGGAAGGTAGCCAAAGGTGAGGCAAATTAATGGCATTTTCCAAACTGATCAATAGGTGGCTTCATGCTATCCTGGGACCTGGAGGCACCGGTAGGCACCTGCCCTGGCGTGCATGGTTAGGTGCAGCAAAGGTGATCCTCAGGCTGTGAGCTGGCTGGCAATGCCCACCAGTCCAATTCCCCCATGCTATGATAGAGTTGACAACAGAGCTGTGGACCAGACAGCATCTGAGGTTCTCAGTGGCCCCGGCTGAGTACACCCACAGTGCTCAATCAGTCTTGCTGGTTTTGTCAACCTTCCACAGCCCTAGCCACCGTTGACAGAATTCCATTCCTAAATGTAATTTCTAAAGTCGCTTATCTAGAATTCTTTCGCTTCAGCTCCAACTCAGTTTTGGGATTTAACCCCTACTGCCTCACACCTTTCTGGCCTCTATGTCACCAGTGTAGCTGGGACACTGTCACCGAGCTAAAGCCTAGGCCAGGTCCCAGCTGTCTGCCTGGATAACAGAAGCATAAAGACCATAGCTAGCAACAACCGTGCTTTTCTTGCTCTTGGTGTTTCATCTCCACCTCGGGGCACCAGTCTCCAGAGACACCCGTTCCTCTTCTTTGCTTCCAGCCCCGTTTTCCTGCCAGGCTCTTCGCTGGCCTCTCAGTGTGGCCCTCTCAACTCTCCTCATTGGACCTCATCTGCTTCCATGCCTCTGGAAAGGCAAACCCCCACAGATAAATCCACCTGCCAGGATCCCGTGGCTTGCTTGCACACACAAAGCCTTCCAAGAGCTATGTTACATAATTCCCAGCAGGCAGAGTCATTTCCTATATTCCTGTACCTCTGCCAGTATTTCCCACACCTGACTGTCGACAGCAAGCCAGTGCTCTCCCTCGACTTGTGCTTGTCTTCACGGGGTTAGACTCTCTCCTTTGAAGGACAAACTAACGCAGTACTCACAATACATATATGTGCATATGCGTGTTCACATTTGTAGGTAGATACACATCTCACTCAAATAACTGCTCGTGGGTCAATATTTTAAACTTCCAGATCTCTCTCTATTCTACCTCCCAGACCCAATCTCCCCCCAAACAACAGATTATTGAAAAAAAAAGATATAGTTACTTCTTCTGTAGCATCTTCTGGGGTGGGCTCTATGTCCAGGTTGAGTTCCTCCTCCGTGGTCTGACAACAGAGACATAGGTTAATATGATTAGCGTCTCAAAATTTGTGTCAGCGGCTTCATACGCGTAATAGGCACAGCTGTAACTGGCGTGGCAGGTGCTTCATGTGTGTAATAGGCACAGCTGTAACTGGCTTGTCAGGTGTTTCATGTGTGTAATCGGCACAGCTGTAACTGGCTTGGTAGGTGGCAGAGCCTGTAATACTGCTCTCTTGCACCTGCACAGCTCTGTAACCGTGGAATGCTTGGTACTGGGACAGATGTTTTACACGCAAGCAGTGAGTATTCATGTCTAAAGTCACAAGCTGCTGAATCAGTGAGGTGTAGGACTTCCGGCACAATGCAGAAGACAGGCAGTTATACTGCCTTCGGCCAGCAGGAGGCAGGAGACAAGCTTACATGCAGCGCAAACATCCACAGGGTGAGGGTGGACACAGACAAGACACCAAACACATCTGTAGCATTCCTGCTTGAATGGAACAAATCAGCCTCGTGTTAATTCTGGAAGGGGAACTGGATTTTTGTGGGTTTGTTTCTTAGAGAGTGACTTGTGAAAACTCCAGCAGCCTGAAATTTGCTATATAAACAGGTCTATAACCCACCTCTACCTCATGGGTTTTGGAATTACAGGTGTGTGCCATTGAGCCCAGCTGGGAAGAATTAATGAAATCCCAGACAGTAAAGTTCTGGGCTCACAAAGATGCATTAACAGCACTTGTGTAGCTCGGGGTTTACACGGGAGGCCAGGGCTGCATCTCTGCTTAGAACGCAATAGCGTGGAAGACTGCTCAGATGACCTATTAGAAAGGGGACAGCCCCCACCACCCTGAGACTCAGAGAGAACTCAGTGAAGCATTCCCACCCAGAACTAGCTCTAGTGTGCTCTGCTGCCCCAGGCTAGCTGATGATGTCACGATGGCTAAGCCAGCAGCCATGCTGGGTTAGAAATCTCACTAACTTGACTCCGAGTCACCAGGGAATCATGGTGGATGTGGAACATTTGAAAACCAAGATTTTGCTTTCTCTAATGCACTGAGGCATCCCAGAACGCTCACGCTTTAATAAAAATATTATTAAAATGAGTCAGCTGAGCCCCACAGATGGCTTCACACACTGCCTGGCTTGTTGCTCCTTCCTCTCTCTCCAGAGCAGGGCTGTGGCCACCGAGCCCCACTGAGCATGCACACCCGGCAGTCCTGACTGATACAACTCATAGAAACCACTGCTTCCCCTCCATACTAGACTCTTCAGGGCTTCTCTAGAATCTCCAGTTTTTATTCGCCATGTTTTCTTATCTCATTCATGCGTAAAGTATCATCCAAAATATCCCAAACCAATTCATAATACCACAACTAGTCTCCTTAGATAGTCAGCGGGGTTCCCTAGTCTATGTGCTGGAGCATTGCTGTTTTTTTTTTTTTTTTTTTTTTTTTAAGAATATACCATGTTCTACTTCTATGGGCCTCAGATTCCTAGGTTTCTAAGGACTGTGGACAAGAGAACAGCTGAGGAGAGGAAAGCAAAGTGTAGCCGTGTTAGGCTAAGAGAAGAACCTAGGAACATGGATTTCCAGCCTGTGACATTAACTGTGTTCCACAGATATCCCTATCCATGCCAAGGCCAGACTCTGGGTGCGTCTCACCCAACTCTGCACATGCTCTGTAATCTGCGAGCTATTTGAGTAGCACAGGACATAAAACATGGGCAAACGAGACAATAAAGTCAGCTTAGGGGTACTGTGACCCAGGGACATGACAATTGAGGACATGGAAGGTCCCCGAGAGCTGGGAACTTCATGGTTTGATTATTTCAGCTTTGGCCCTCTGTGGAGACAACTCCAGCCAGCTGTTTCTTGGCTCCAGACTGCTAACAATTTAGCGCCCCACCCTCACTCTGCATGCTCCACAAGTTTGCTGCTCTGAAAAACTCACCAGAAAGCCGGAGGAAACGTCTTCTCTCCAGGCTCTCTAGCCTCTGACTCTCCCGGTGTCGGGCAGACTAACCGAGAAGCTCACAACCCTCGGCGCTGCTGGGCAGCAGAGCGGGTGCTATCAACTCTGCATCAGGATTGTTGATTTGCCGGTTTTCTTTGGTCATGACATATTTCTGTAATAACATGAGCCTGCCCGTCCTGGTCTACTTCAGAAATGTTTTAAACACAAGCTGCTCCGAGGAGCCTCTGTCCTGGGGATAGCACCAGACTCAGAATTCCAGCAGGACCCCACGTTTCCTTCAGCCCAGTTCTCCCCCACAAGAGCTCTGTGTTCAGGAAGTCGGGCAGATGGACATCAGGCCACAAACAACGGGCTCAGCAACAGGAAATAAGAGAATGTCTGCCCTCATCATTTGCTCAGTCATCAGTTGAATTTTTAGAAGAATCGAGTAAGAATCTCTCAAGTAAAAAAGAATAGGCTTGAGTTGCCATCTGGGGAATGAGTGGCTTTGTCTTCAACCACAAGGCAGCACCAAGTACCAACAGAGTAATCAGCAATGGCAGAGCCAAGTGTCAACCTTGCTCACCAAGGCAACCCCCTTGCACCAATACTCAGACTGCTCTGGCTACAAGATACAGCACATAGTGTCTGTGAAAGACTCTATTTCCCACATCATACCCACATCCTCCTCCAAGCACTTACAAGATTATACTCGTTTATTTGGTCTCTGTCTCTCTTTGCCTAATGGTCTCTGTCTGTCTCTCTGTCTGCCTCTCTCTCCAGCCATGTGTGTGCGTGTGTGGTGTGTGTGTGCAGAAATCAGAGGGCAACTGTCTTTCCTCTTACCACATGAGTTTAGGAATTCAGGTTATCAGGCTTGACAGCAAACACCCTCACGCACTGAGCAATCTTATAAGCCCTATTCCAAGTATTTTTATGGGAGTCCTCAAAGTAAAATACCAAATATGCTGTCTTCTAGAACAGAATCATTCAGAACAAAGATATATTTCTGTGACTGTCTCCACGTCACTATGAAATGAAAGCAGTTATCATGGAACTTATATGTGTAAGGTCAGATGAGGCAGAGATTAAACCTCAGGTTGCGGTATTCAGGAGTCTATAAAAATTAGCCATTTTTAAATTGCAGTTTTGGTCGCTCCTGACACGGTGCCCGAACATCTAAAGATGCAGCCGCTCTGAACAACTCCGGAAAACTTTCTTCTCAGAAAAAGCTCTGATGATCACGTAGAACCCAAACGGAACAAATGAAATTCCTGGCAACAGAGGCTTGCCACCTCCCTAGGGGACAGCGTCATCGGTACCTTCCCCAACACAGCCCCAGCAGTGTGACACTGGCATTGTTCCCTCTGAGTGCATGGCCATTCAGGACAACACCGCCGCTGCTCTGTTCCTCTAGCCTAACGGGTCAGTTCCTGCAGCAGATGGAGATCTCGCCCATGATCTGGACCACTTGTTGAAAGCAAAGCAAACTGGTGCCAACTAGTTGACAATAGCAGTACTTACAAGCACAAGACACACTGCCAGAAGCACACTGAAGGACGGCTGGGGGCAGCATGCTTGTCTTCTATAGGCTTCATGCATGCACTCACAACACGCACACTGCCACAGGCACACAAATGCACATGTTTGTGTGGCCACATATGTGAAACACAGACACAGAGCGACCATATCTGCCACGCTAACCATTACTAAATAACTGTGAATTTTCTATTGAATAAAAGTCTGTTTGCTACCATCCAGAGGGCACTGTGGGGAAGGGCACACTCCCCTCTTCTGTACCTACCTCTATCTCCATGGGCTCCACCTCGATCTTCTTCCATAGCTCCAGCAGCTGTGCTATCGGCATTTTATAAACTTTCCTTTTCTTCCAAGCAAGTGTTGATAGCAAGAATGAAAATAAAAGCAGGCACCAAGGAGCCGGAGAATCGGCTGACGGGATGTCAGAGGCTGGGGGCAGCAGGCCAGGCTGGAGTGCAGAGTGGGAGAGAGCACACGGGACACGGAACTGGACGGTCTCCTGGGCCAGGGAGGGTCCTGAGGTCTTCAGTGTGTGGCTGCTCAGCCTCGTCAGCGGGCTGCAGCGCGGTGAGGCAAGGAGACTGCAGCTGCGTCTGGGAGTCCGTGCGTCTGTCTCGCAGAGTGCAGCCTCCGAGTGCTTTCCTGCCTCCCGGTTACGCTGCCACTCTGCCCCCTCCCCTCTATTTTACCTTAATTGGCTCTAAATGAGGGTGAAAGTTGAGTCTGAGGATGCTGCTGCCATAGAAACCGCTTAGCAACGGAGGACCAGCGAGGGAGAAGGAGGGATTGGAGCTCGGGCTCTGCCCTACCCCTCCCCACCTCTGCGACACTGCCTGGGACCCACACACCACCCCTGTCAGGAGTTCTGAGGCTGGAGGCCGGATGCAGCAGAGACACCCCTCCACACCGGGGTTTCAGACACCCGCATTGGGGATTGCGCTGATGCCTGCAGTAGCTTGGTGCAGCGACTCCCTGCTGTCCCCAGTGAACAGCTCTGTTGAGGCATTGGGCAGGAAACCACCAGGAGAAAGGAGTACCGACACACTGAAGGGACTGGGCAGGATGGGTACCTCAGAATCCAGTCTTGGACCACACTTCTGCCCGAAGCAGGAAGATGGGCTGCAGAAAGCTTAAGTTCCTGCATCCTATCCTCTGCAGGAAGGGACAGAGACCAGCTGTTTGTCCCTGTTTATCCCTGTCTGCTCTGAAGGACCAGTGTAGAACAGGAAAGGGTGTCGCAGGGGCAGGACAGCGTTTACTCTAAACACATTATCTAGTTTGTTCTTTCCACCCAGCATGGCTATTTCACTCCCGTTTTACAGATGAGACAGTCCTATGGCTCAAGGAGAAAAAAAGTACCCACAGACAACGGAGTGAAGAAGCCGGCTCTGCCTGAAGCTGAGAAACTTAGCTTCTCAGAGGAGGGAGTATGTTTTAGGATTCCTTGAGGGTGGGTCTTTGGTCTGCTCCATTTCTATCTGGGAATGAAAAACACATCAGGAGACGATCCGTGCTGAGCCTAGACCAATTTGGTTCCTTCTCTCGGGAAATCATGTTCGAGACGAACACAGTTTAGCCTTGCTCTGGAGCAAGCATCTTCATCTCTGCGTGCCCTTATCTTTGAGAACATCTAAGGCAATGGCTCCCTGGCTCAGAACATTATCGTGTCCTTTTCATCTTTATGAAGTCACCAAGCAATGCAGCCTACTAAAGGACGGAGAGGGGCCCAAAGCCTGCGCACTTCCACATTTTACGGCAGAATAATACCTCATCTTCCGCCAACAGTGGGGGCGAGAGTGGGCGTGTGTTCACAAGAGACACTTCAGCCTCATCTTTTTACAAAACGAGGCCCGTGAGGACCTTGAAAATTAATTCTACTCAGGATAAGAATAACAGCGAGGTTGTTCATTTTACACTGGAAACCTACTGACTGAGTGAGTGACTGAGCAGAGGAGGGCATCCTGTATGCTAACCATAATAAAGTCAGCTGAGGTAGGATATAGAAGGTCGCAAGCTAACAACAGACAAGATGAAGTGATTTTTCTCTGTAATAAAGCCAGGGAAACCACTCACAAAAGACTTCTGAGAAGATGTGAAAAGCATTGCATCTGACCACTGAAGACCTGAACTCCCTCAAGCGACAGAAGGAGACGCAATCATTTTCTTGCTGTGCTTCTGCAAAACCTCCCATTTCTAGAACATTCTACAGATGCCCCAATGTGTGAAGATGGAAAGAAAATATTGGTCTTTCCTTTTGAGGGAGGAATGAGGAAAAAAGAATTTTAGATAGGCTTCAGGGTGAGCCATGCTTCCTTGGAGACTAGAGTAAACCCCAAGTTTCCAGGAGGACCTGAGTTAAAATTCTTACCAGAGTGGCTGTCAGCAGACACAAAGAGTGACTAGGGCTGGGCACTGCTGCAGATACAGCACTTACTCAACATTCTGTCTCTTTTCAGTCTCTGCGACATGAGCTAAACCCCATCCCACCATCTTCTGGGTGAAGCAGAGAAACCTGGGAAAAGAGCGTGGGAGAAAGAATGGGACTCTGAGTGAGCCATGGGAGCCGGGCTCAGCTCACTCCACACTGCTGCCTTTGAACAGTTAGCAGGTTGTTCAAAGCAAGCAGCTTGGGCACTCGGGATGCAGCACAGGGAGGCACAAGCCTGCTGGATGGGAGTGGGAGAAGTCAGGGAAACAGGCCACCTAGGACCTAAGAATGACCCAAAGGGGAAAGGAAACTTCCGAGAAAAAATGAGGATCCAGGATGACGTTGGCCCCATCCGTAAAGCTTTCAATACCCAGAAAAGACAAATCAGAAAAGAAGGAGTGGGCTTTTCTGGGGGATATAATTATAAAGACTTCAATAAAAGACCAAATTATTGAGGATGAGTGTTCAACTAAATCCCAAGAAAACTCAAATGACTTGTTTGACAGAGTGACACTTCCGAAATCTGGTTTCTGAGAAACCTCCTTGTAGGCATCAGTTTGCAAGGGGAGGCAGTAACTAGAGGACGCTTGCTGAAAACAGAGCCAGCTCTCCAGAAAGGCGCTGTGAAGCACAGCCAGAGCCCCAGCCACGGCATCATGATGGCGTGAGACAGATAAACAGGCATCAAATCCAGAGAACCCCAGCCCCACACACTCTCAGCACAAACAGATTCCCAAGCATACCGATGTGCTCAGACCCCTGAGTCTGACAACATGTTTATTTTCTTGCAGAACAGAAAGGAAATACTTCCACTAACCAAGGAAAAGTTGTGCGGAGAGGCATTGGAGCCTGTGGTTGGCCTGCTCCTGGTGCTCACAGCTGTCCTCTGGGGTTCAGCTTTCCCAGGGTTCATGAAGCAATAGCAGGCCTTGGGAAAGCCTCAACTGAGTCTAAGGCACCTGGTGTTTGAAATAATGAGAGACGCTGGCCTCCATTTTGTCCTTGACAGCCATTTTCCAATGACTCCCGTTCCATCCTGGCCTGCTCCACCTTGCAGCTGAAGGTAATTAAGGATTTGGTAAAATAAGACAAATTGCTCATTTCTAATGGGTGAGCCCTTGTTTTGCTAGTTCCATGTTCTAGTGTTTCACAGAATTCTAAAAAAACAAACAAACAAACAAAAAAACACCACCACCAAAAAAAACACCTTAGAACCAAATTGCTTTTAACAAAAAGACAAGATACTTCCTTGTATTGGCCAAGTTCTGTGCCCTCGAGGGCACACGCTACAGTCCTGCCTCCATCAGGTGTAATGTAGACTTAGGGTCCACACAGCAACCACGGTGGAATGGGGGCCACTAATCTAATTACTGCAAGTTTTAGAGGAGAATCTCCATGCAGATGCACACAGCAGCAGGCGGAGCTGAAGTCTTCCCACCAAAGGTCAAGGAACCACACGTTCTCCAAGAAGCTAAGGGAGGCCTGGGACGATCCTGCCCTGGGGACCTCCATACTGCCACAGTTCAGTCTTGGGCTTCTGGCCCCCAGGCTGTGAGAGGGAACACTCCTAAGCGGGTGCTTTATTATGGAGGCACACGAGCTGAGCGATGCCCCACCCCTGGGGCGGGCGTGGACTAGAGAGAACAGAACACTAAACCAGATACTGCAATACCGCCATTCCATAGAATTCCATCAAAAGAAACCTGAAGATCCTGCACTGCCCTCTCCTGCACACCAGCTGGCAACAGAGAGACCTCGGGGCAGTTTGCAGAGGCTTCCAAAGCCATTTCAAGGACTGGCACTCTTCGTGGCTTTGGGAAGATGCAAAGGCACTGAATCCAGACCCCTTACAGGATGATGTCACAGCCCCGTCCCCAGCACAGTGGCATCATGACATACTCTACAGAACAGCCACGTTGTTTCTATGAAAATTACTCACAAGGAAAAACTGTTTTAAGGCTGAGCAGAGAGTAAACGGCTTCTCTTTATTGTGAAAAGCAAATTATAAGCTTAGGGAAATCTTTAAAGAAGGAATCTCCCGTCTTTCTTCCCAACAGATCTTTCATCTCATTGGTGACAAGAGTTGTGGTAACCCAGCTTGCCTAAATAGGACCCTTGGGTTTTCCCACTGGCTGACAGGGTCGCCCTCCTCCAACAACACAGCTCTGGGCCAGCAGTGACACAAATGTGCATGCGTGGGAGCCAGAAGGAAGCGGGAATGATGTAGGCCATCTTTCTGCCAAGTTGTAGAGCACTTAGCTAAAATTCACAGCCCCCTGCCCCACAAAAAGATGGTTGAAGAGGGCAAGAAACAAAGACATGAAATGGACCAAAGAGCGTGAAAAGTGTATTGAGGACCGCTCTGTACTCACGGGAATGGAGTGAATCGGAACAAACCTTCACTGTACTTGGTATTTACAATAGAGATTAGACACAAGTGCAAACGAGCCTTGGTAAATTCTCCAAAGCACAGCAGTTACGCTCACAGAACATGAGTAATTGCTAAAAGCGTGGTATTTATAGGAATCTTCTAAACAATCTGTGGAATCAGTTATCGGCTCCTGGCAACAGTATCCCAGTACCCTATCAGGTTCACGGACTACAGAATAACCCCGTTAGCAGCATGGAGTCCTCCCTGTGAAAGGAAACAGACATAGCAAGCAGGGCCTGCTGTTTGATTCCACAAGTGGGTAGGCTTGAGGGGAGTTAAGAACGAGAGAGCTTCCAGTGGGAAATGCAAGTCTGAGCTTCTGAGACACACCCCAGGAACCCAAACCTGGTACTTCTCTTAGCCACGCCTACCTCCTCTTAGCCACGCCCACTTGCTTCTTTTTGTTTTGATTTTCGACTAGTACATAAAAAATGGAATTTGTACACATTAACGAGTACCATGTTATGGCCTTATGCAGGTTTGCCTTTGGTATTATTTAAACCAATTTAAACATATTTGTTCTGAAACATTTGCCATTTTTATGGCTAAAATTCATAGCCCTTTCCTTTGTATATAATCCTATATAATCGTGCACTATTGTCTGAACCAGGTTTTCTCACGCTCTTGACTGTCACTTCTGCTGGTTTTAAAGACAAGAACACCCTGTCATGGTGGTGCTGTAATCCCAGCACTCAGGAAGTAGAAGCAGAAGGGTCAGAAATTTCAGGTCCTCTTTGACTGCTAGCATGTTCAAGGACAGACTAGAATGCATGAGACCAGGTCTCAAAAGAGAAAAGGGAAAGAGAGAAAAACACAAAGATTGATGCCTGGTTATCTTGACGGGAGACTGAGAGCAGAGGGGTCAGCCTTGACACGGGACCTTACAGGAAAGCAGGTTTTTGTTCTTGTTCTTTCTCCATGAAGTGCTCCGCTTAGGAAACGCTTAGAGAGGTGAAGGGAACGGATGTGCACAGTGAGGAGAAATCACAGAGTGGTAGCCTCAGAACAAAAAATCAGCAAAACCAGAAAACGGCAGCCAGATCGTTAATGTACCACTGCCCTATTGGACTGCTAAGCAGGAATTGTAGCCTTTTTACAGAAAAAGTCTACCAGGATTCATGAGCTAGACGTTATCACAGAAGCAGTGTGTCCAGGCAGTGGAAGGAACCAGAGAAGGCCCTCCAGCCTAGGATGGCACAACCCTTACAAAAGTGTTTAAAAGGAACCATTCACATAGTCAGGAGCCAAACAGCTAGTGTGCCGTTTGTGTACACTCTAGTGTGTTTGTGTACACTAGTGTGTTGTGTACGCTAGTGTATTTGTGTACACTAGTGTGTTGTGTACGCTAGTGTATTTGTGTATGCTAGTGTGTTATGTACACTAGTGTGTTTGTGTACACTAGTGTATTTGTGTATACTAGTATGTTATGTACGCTAGTGTATTTGTGTACACTAGTGTGTTGTGTACGCTAGTGTGTTTGTGTACGCTAGTGTGTTGTGTATGCTAGTGTATTTGTGTATGCTAGTGTGTTTTGTACGCTAGTGTGTTTGTGTACACTAGTGTGTTGTGTACGCTAGTGTGTTTGTGTACGCTAGTGTATTTGTGTACACTAGTATGTTATATACGCTAGTGTATTTGTGTACACTAGTATGTTATGTACGCTAGTGTATTTGTGTATGCTAGTGTGTTGTGTACGCTAGTGTATTTGTGTATGCTAGTGTGTTATGTACACTAGTGTGTTGTATACACTCATGTGTTTGTGTACACTAGTGTGTTGTGTACGCTAGTGTGTTTATGTATACTAGTGTGTTGTGTATACTAGTGTGTTTGTGTATACTGCACTTCAGCTCCAGTGAACTTTGCTGAGTCTACTGACATAAGTCTTGATAAAGAACTAAAGGACAAGCCATTCAGTGCTCACTGAGCACCCAGTGCAGGGCTGAGTATTCACCAAGGGCTTAAGAAGTCCAGCTGAAGAATCAGTGGGGGGTGGGGTGCTTGTTCATGTGTGCTGTGGGCATGTGTGTGCTGTGAGCATGTGTGTGCTGTGAGCATGCGTGTGCTGTGAGCATGCGTGTGCTGTGGGCATGCGTGTGCTGTGGGCATGCGTGTGCTGTGGGCATGTGCATACCAAGGTACGCTTGTGGAAGTAAGACCATCTTCGGATGTCAGTCCTTGTTTTCCACCTTGTTTGAGATGGGTTTGTCATTAGTACTAAAGCCAGGCTGGGCAGCAAGTCCCTAGAGAGATTCCCTTGGCTCTGCCTCCCACTTCTCCATAGTGGTGATTACACCATGCATTAAGATTACAGATTCTCACATTACTGTGTCTAGTTTTTGTGTGCATCCTGGAGACCTGAACTCAAGTTGTTAAACTTCATCATCCAACACTTTCACCCACAGAGCCATCTCTCCAGTCCCATGAGAGAGTTCTCGTGTGTCTTCGTGTTTGCATACACATTTGAGGGCATTTTCTTAGAGAAAATGAAGGTTATGAGAATATTCCAGAGTATAGCTCAGTGGGAGAGAACACCTAACGAGCATACAGGAGGCCACAGACTTGATCCCAAGCAGCACAAAAACAACAGGAGTCCACTGTTCTCCACCCGCTTTGGATGAGTTTATCAATATCCACAAAAAAGGTAGGTGGCCAAGGTGTGCCTCCACCCAGTGCTGGGGAGGACCGTGTGTTTCTAAAGTCTCACCAGGGGCAAGCAGGGGCCGGTTTCTGTCTTTGAACACATCTGTCAAGCAAGAGAAGGTTTGGGTCTTAGGGACACTGGTAGGACCTGACAGAAACTCTCTCCCTGTATGAACCATCAATTTTTTATTTTCTCAAAGTGTTATGGTGGGAAAAGTGATTTCTAAGGAAATGCTGAGAGATTGATATTGAGCTCATATTAAGAATACTGGGAAAGGAATCGCTGTAGCAGAGACTTTAACTCCCTGTAACCGGCCTAGGTTATTACTTCAGAACAGCTTGACTTAACTTGGGATTTTGAGAACCAATTAGAGGCTGAAATGAGATATATTTCTTTAAGGAAAAATAACCTTTTCTTTCCTTCAGAGAGTTAACAGGTTGTACTGAGGAAATCTTGAGAAAAACCACTTTTGGTTCCTCACTAAGCCCCCAAAGGACCCTTTCATACAGCATAGCAGGAGGTCTGTGGCCACACACCCCAGGTAGGGCAGACAGTACCTCCGCGTGTGTCTAAGAAGGCAGCTGTGGGGACTCTGTATATAAGAATCAGTGTTGAGAGTTCTTCAGTAAGCATTCACCTTTCCTGTTGCCTGTGTGACAGGATCCTCCACCCTGGAGCAGGAGACAGGGCCTGAGAATAACCTGGGTGAGCCCCACTGCCCTACAGCCATCACAGAACCAGGTGTGGACACCGTTCAAGGATTCTCGGGAGTCTGGGACAAGATGGATCCCTGCCCTCCTCTCATAGTTAAGGTGATCTAGAAGTAATGAAGGAGGGGGAAAATGGAGAAAGATGATGAGTGATGGACAGGAGACGGGGGACGATGAGGACAGGGGATGGAAAGAGCTGAAGGGGCAGGAGCAGAGGAAGAAGTTGGGCCGGGTGTGGTGGCATCCACCTGCAATCCCAGAACTTGGGGAAAAGGCAGAAGGAACATGAGTTCAAGGTCAACCTCAGCCACACAGAAAATGTGAGGACTTCTGTCCACATGGAGACCCTGGAAAGATGAGTGACAGGAAGTATAATGGCTACTTCTTGTTGCCCTGATAAAAAAACCATGACCAAAAATGACTTACGGAAAAGAGAATGCATAATTCCAGAAGAGGAATCATAGTGGTGGGGGCATGGCCGGAGGTGCAGGAAGCTGAGAGATCACAGCTTCAACAGCAAACATGAAGCAGAGAGCTCAGACTACAGTAGGGTAAGGCTATACACTGTGGGCACAGCCCCCAATGGTGTATGTCCTCCAGCAAGGCCACCCACCTACACCTCCCTAAACAGACCATCTACTAGAGACCTACGGAGTGGGCCATTTCTCCTTCAAACCCTTGTATGAGATGAGAGGGGGAAGGAAGAGGCCCTACAGGACCCACACGGCAGCGAAGTGAGGCAGGCGTCCCTCCCTGGAAGACAGGCCATCCTTGCCTAAAGGAGACCCCATACATAGAACTTCAACCTCATTCTCATGTAAGCAAACCTCAACCAAATTAACACTCTCATCACAAATCACTGAGGCTCTGCCAATCATGACAGTGGGACTTTAGTTAACTGCAGGCTGCCTGTAAAAATACCCGTGCTTCCTTCCATGTAGCATTCCCGAATTCCACTAGCCTTGGGAAAGTCACATGTCAATCATTCTTTGTCCACATAAACCAAGCTCAACTTAATTGGTTTCAATTTTTCCGATAATGGTGAGCTTCAATAACAAAATCACATGTGGAGTTGGGGAAATCCGACCACCCTTGATCATCATGAAGGAAAAATTCTTCCCTAGCATGTAGTTTAACCGTAGTTAAAACGATGCTGGCTTAAGTGAGCATCTCTCTCTTCCTGGATGTAGTGGGAAAGCATCCACATGAACTATGACTGCCAGAGCAGAAGCCTTCAGTTTCTGCCGGTGACTTCTCTGCGTGCCAGAGACCTGGATTTTTTTCACATAAAACCCTGAAGACTTGGCTATTTAGAGCAAGCCAAATAGCCTTCTGATTTGCTTACTTCATCCCGATTTCTCACAAGTGTGGCTTGATTTCCCTTAAAAACAGCATTTTGTCCCTCGTCAATCTGTTTTCCTCCCCACAGCTGGTTACCGTCCTTTCGCTGCACTGTGCCAGCTGAGATCACTTCCTCCTCCAATAAAAATAGACGTCTTCTGGTTGGGGCTGGTGGAAGCTCTCTGTGCTGTCACACGCTGAACCCTTGTCAGCATAAATCTTTTCCTTCTTCTAAAGGTATGTGTGTGTGCTGTGTGTGCGCACGCATGAGTGTGCGCCACGTGCGTGTGTGAAGGCAAAAGACTATTTTCAGAAGTTGCTCTCTCATCTCACCTTGACTGGGACTCTGATGCAGATCACCAGGCTTGCGCAGCTGCAGTTTCACGTGCTGAACCGTCTTGCCAGCCCTCATGTTTGCTCACTGGACCTTGAAAGCCAGAGGAAAGGAAAGTAACGGGCGTGCAGGAATCTGTTATTTTGACCTCTAGGGCATGTGTCACTGGTGACCCTGTAAGCCTGAGGGAACGTGAGGCTCTGTGGTGATTTGCTTTCACGGGCCTTTGGCTGGATTTACCACTCCCTGGGAGACACACCTCAGGGTGTGTCCATGACAGCAACCTGTGGAGGTTTAACTGAGAAAGAAGGCCCTATCCAGAGGGAGCACCATTCCAGACACTGGGGCTCCAGGTCAAATGCGAGGGAGAAGTGGGGAAAGGAGAAAGACTAAGGACTCCTGCACCCCATTTCATGGCTTCCTGTTCCTCTCTAGGGCTGGGATTAAAGGCATGCACCACTGAGATTAAAGGCATGCACCGCCCAGTTTCTCTAGCATATTAGTATAGCCACTGGGTTTAAAGATGTGTGTTATCCCTGCCTGGCTGTAAGGCTGGCCAGTGTGGCTGTTTTACTTTTATGATCCTTAGGCAAGCTTTATTTATGAAAATACAAATGAAATGCCACGCCCCCCAGCATTGTGTCCGCAGAGGCCATATGCCACGAGTGAGCAGGAGGACTCAGGATCCTCATGACCTTCCCTCTCTGGTCTCATCTTCCCCCCTCCTCAACAACACAAAGTCTACAAGCCTTGGGCACATGACTGTGAACTTGAATAATAGCAGAGAAGGGAGCCTAATTTAGGGAAGATCAGCTCTGGCACCTCACGTCAGAGTGAAGGCAGAGGCTGGCGATGGTGTTGTCCTCTCCTGTGGTCAAAAGCTGAGACCTGAGTTTGTCTCTAAGTCATATTCACAACTAATTCCTTCCATAGTGGGTACTCGTGAGTCTGAGAACCACAGTTTCTCTACCTCAACACGGTGTTTTTTTCATCCATGGGAGCTGTTCGAGTAAGGCCAGGTAAGCAGACCTGCTCTGGAAACAGGCAAGAAACTGCTTGCTAGCAGTCTGGCTAATGGGCACCGGACAAACAGAGCCATATTAACAACACAATGCCCACAGGCCCTCTGCTCTTCCTTACTTCACAGCCATTCTGTGCCGCACTTACCTTGTGCATGAGCTAAAAGTATGAGTGAAACACAAACATTTCTATCCAGGTTCATTTCGGTAGGAGGAAGAGAGGAGAGAAAATGCCTGCTGGATACGACGTGACGGTTGAGGGGACAGCCTAGGACGGCTAACAGAGTCTACATTTTAGCTTCTGCAGTCAGAGAAACAAAAATGCAAAGCCTCAGGGCTGGTGGGAAACAGGGCTGTGACCTGTCTCACACACAACAGTCCGGGCTGGGTATTCAGTTCCAGCCTGCACTGGCTAGTGCAGGAACAGGGCAACTTAGTTTCAGTGTACAGGAGTCAGACTGGGATAGGAACAGCCATGGGCAGGGGTCTGTCCTGTGGACACCGTATCTTAAAACTTTGCTTCTCTTAAAGCAAAGCAACTTGAGGGTTTTAAATTACAGTCCATTAAAAATGTCTTCTGGGCTGGCCAGACAGCTCAGTGGGTAAACACTGTGCAACCCTAAGAAGCAGAGGGGGGGTCCCTGGAGTCTGTGTAAAAGGGAAAAGGGAAACCAGCTTCACAGAGGTGTGCTGTAACCTCTACATGCACATGGTGGCACATGTGTGCCCCCACTCAGGAAATAATACAATAAAAATTAAAAATATTTCCCAACCGTTTTACAGTCCTCAAAAATCCATATGTAGTGTTGATCTACCTTTCCTAGGTAGTATTCCATGTGTGGATATATATGCCTTTACTCATAGAATCTGCTCCCACAGATGAACAAAGTTTTCAGTCTATGTTCGGGGCATCCCCAAAGGGAACCTGCCAGGGAAATGTTGTGAACACACTTATGCCTCTTGTCGTGTTCAACAATAAAGTCTTTTCAAAGCCAGGCTCACCTTACAAACAGAGGAACCTAAGTTGCCTCTGTAGATTTTTTCTAAGTGGCCTGAAAGTTGGCTCTTCCCAACTCAAAGGCTTTGCACACTTGAGATTCTTACTGTGGAAGTGGGTTTGGAAGCACGACAAACTGTCTTCCTGGCTTGGACTAAATCACCTACCATGTTTTTGGATGAAAAATTAATTATGACGACAACCAAATCTTTATATAACCAAAATCAAAGTCAGTTTGTGATCTATACCTCATGAAAACTGTAAGAAGAAGCCAAAAGGAAGGAGAATAAAAATAAGGGCAGTCTCTGTTCTGTCGGGTAAAGCACATATTTCACAGGATGGTTATTAAAGCAGAGCTGTGCTGGAGCGCAGCTGTCTGCACACACCAGTGAGAAGCAGTGACGGTGATCAGCGCACATGGACTCAAACACGCGAGAGAAACACTGGACACACATTATAGGGGGAGGCAACATTTGGAGGGACATTAGCCATTCCTGAAAAAAAATATTTCAAGGTTTTCTTTCCCAAATACACAGTTAGTTAGGATAATTTAAATCATTATCATCCAGGGTGAAGGGAGGCCCAGGAAGAAAGCTGAGCAGGTGAACCTGAGTTTGATCCCTGGGGTCCAGTTCATAGTGAAAGGCGAGGCCTCAGTGTGCACTCCACAGTGGCTCTATCTGCCCCTCTGCACATGCACAAACAAAGTAAGTGTTAAATTTTTACAGTGTGGAAATGTAGTAGCATTTCATTTGTATTTTAATAAATAAAGCTTGCCTGAAGGCTGGCCACGCTGACCAGCCTTACAGACCAGGCAGCAATGATGCACACCTTTAATCCCAGCAGCCTCACTAGTTTGCCTTAGAAACCAGGTGGTAGTGGTGCACAACCCAAATCCCAGCCCTAGAGAGGATTATAAAACGGGAGGAGACAGCGCTCAGATACAGTCTCTGAGATTGCTGGAGGCAGGATCACCATTTCACACTGAGGTCCAGGTAAGAGTCAGTGGCTGGCTGCTTTGTTTTTCTGACCTTCAGGTTGAACCCCAATTTCTGTCTCTGGGTTTTTATTAATTGTGCTTTATGAAAACATAACAACAAAGAAGAAAATACAGGTAAATATCTATGTGACTTAAAGACTAATGTTTTAAGCATGAAAAACTAGAATTTCAAAAAACTAACTTAAAAGCTGTATCTACAAAAAAATAATAACAGCAAAAATCCAGCCGTTTCCCTCTGTTATCTTCTATAGTATAAAATTTAATAAGTAGATAGGGGCTGGAAAGATGACTTAGTAGTTAAAGAGTGTACTGCCTTTGCAGAGGACCCGAGTTCAGTTTTCAATACCTACATCAGACAGCTAACAACTTCCTGTAACTACAGTTCCAGGGGACCTGACACCACTTGGAGCTTCTGCAGGAATTGCACTTACATGCACAAACCCACACACATATATACATAATTAAAAATGAAAAATACGATAAGTAGACAAATCGTTGTCGTGAACATATGCAGGAAATCTTCCTTTAGCAAGCTCAGGATAAATGCTTCCACCTTTCTTTCTGTTCTTATTCAGAATAAATGATGCCTTTAAAACATGAGTTCTAAGCACTATGCATAGATTTTATAATGTGTCTGTAACTTTTGATATTTTCCATTATGTTTTAATGAACCATCTGTCTAAAACTTATTTTCAAAAGTTGAACCGTTAGTAATTGGCTAAGTTATATTCTTGTTAGTGCTGGTATTATGGCTCGTGGTTTGGCTGTTGTCATCTAAGCTAACCGCTCTGAGAAACTGGGATGCAGTTATGAATTACACAGAGACACAACAAGCAGCTCAAGGACCAGGCTCAGAGCAGTGCAGACACTAGCCCACAGCGCCTCTCACAAGACAGAAATGCACGTGGCTGTGCAGCCTTACGGTGTTGGGGAATATTATTTTCAGGTGTGTGGTTTCTATTTATGCTACATTTGATTAACTGTGAAGCTGTGATTCTTTGCCTGTCTAAAACACCTGATGGTCCTAATAAAGCGATGAATGGCCAATAGTGAAGCAGAAGCACGGATAGGCGGGGCTAGCAGGCAGAGAGAGTATAAAAGGAAAAAAAAAATGAGGCGGTGACCGGGGAGCGGAAGAAAACAAGGAGAGGAAGATGTCAGGACCAGCCACCAGCTACACAGCAAGCCAAGGAGAAAGAAGTAAAGAATGATACACAGAAATAGAGAAAGATGAAAGCCCAGAGGCAAAAGGTAGTCAGGATAATTTAAGAAAAGCTGGCAAGAAATAAGCCAAGCTAAGCCTGGCGTTCATAACTAAGAATAAGCCTCCGTGTGTGATTTATTTGAGAGTAAGGTGGTGGGTCCCTCAAAAAGCAAAAAGAGAATATCCCACAACACTAAGGAAAATCTCCAAGGTGATAAGAAAGAAAACCAAATAAACAAAAAGAGATTCAATTGAGCAGGAGCTGAAAGAACAGAAAACTCCAAACAAGGTCAGGACTTGGGAAGATGTGGGAGCCAGCTCAGCCCATGACACCACAGGCAGTGTGGATAAGGCCACTCGCGGGAGGACCAGAGCCCTTGGAAGAAAAGGGACATGTTATCTTCTGCAGAGTCCACAAAACTGGGATTTTCCTTTTACCACCAGCAACGGTAAAGCTTGGGGGGGGGGGTATTCAAGACTCCCAACAATAGCAGTAGTCAGTGGATTCTCCTAGCTCCAACCATAGCAGTGGTCAGTGGATTCTCCTAGCTCCGGGGCAGACAGAAAGGACAACTTCCCACTTAAGCCACAGCACGGGAGCCAAGGTGAGAAAAACCCAGAGCCCAGGAAGGAAGCATTTGCCAAGCTACAAGAAATGAGAAGCCCTCCCCGCAATGTGTAGGGATGGGGTGAAGGAGCAGAGTGCAGGAAGCAACGTGCAGCAATGGGGGGAGCACGGCCACCAGGTCAAAGAGCCCGTGATCTCAGGAGAGCCACAGACCTGCAACCCACATGTGGGTGAGCATGCCAGCCGGGACAGGGGAGAGGGAATTTTTTACTCCTCTCGAC